GAGATGGGGACTGAAGATGCAAGAGTTTGAGTGACTTTCTCATGATTATAAAAGTAAGCCAGTGGCAGAGCAAGGAATAAATCCTGTTTCACTTTCCTACCATGTTAGAAATTAAAATAATGCTGGTGAGCACACGCTGTTTTCACTGATCCCTGGATTTTTGGGGGGACCTGGCCATTCTGACCCCTCACTATAAGAAGGACATTGAGGGGCTGGAGGGTGTCCAGAGAAGAGCAATGAGGCTGGTGAAGGGTCTGGAGAACAAGTCTGATGAGGAGCTGCTGAGGGAACTGGGGTTGTTTAGTCTGGAGAAGAAGAAGCTGAGGGGAGACCTTCTTGCTCTCTACAACTACCTGACAGGAGGTTGTAGATGATGAGGCAGGTGTTGGTCTCTTCTCTCAAGTAACTAGTGATAGGATGACAAGAAACAGTCTCAAGTTCTATCAGGAGAGGTTTAGACTGGATGTTAGGAAAAATTTCTTTACTGAAAGAGTGGTCAGACATTGGAACAGGCTGCCCAGGGAAGTGGTGGATTCACCAGCCCTGGAGGTATTTAAAAGATTTGTAGACATGGCACTTCGGGGTTTGGTTTAGCAGGCATGGTGGTGTTGGTTGATGGTTGGACTTGGTGATCTTAGAGGTATTTTCCAACCTTAATGAATCTATGATTCTACTCCTAATGGTATAAGTAGTGTTGAGTGTGAGGGTACATGATGGAAGCTGGTACAGAGCGAGGTGCAGTGTGAATTACAGCAGGGGATGAGGGGTCTTCACCTTGCCCTCAGAGGTCTGTGGACACAGTGGCTTGCACCTGGCAGAGAGAAGCGACGTGCAAACACCGGGCCAATGTCTGGGAGAGATGGGAGAGGGAGGCCTAGCCTTGAGGCTGTGGCCACTGGAAAGAAACATCTTGGATGAATTTTCTACATCTAATGCAGCAGCTTCCCTGTGTTTTAACTGTTCTTGGCTATCAGAGATATCAGTGAGCCTCGGGGGCTTGTTTTGGCACTGCTTTGCCCAGGAGGGCAGGGGAGGAGGATGCACAAGACGTTTAGGAAGCAAGCAGCATTTCTGCTCTCACCCTCATAAGAACCAGGCTTTGGGAGCCCCCACCACGTTCCCACGGAGCAGAGCTCTCCTCCAGAAATGGACACGTTTTCTAGGGCGCTGGCAAGGAAAACGGCACATGGGTGGTCTGAGGGAAGCCACTGTTTGCTGAAAGGTCGCTGGCTGCCTCCCAAGCAGGCACCTCTTGTGGCTATAGCCATCTCTGTGCTCCAGGCTCTTCTCCATGTTATGCAGAGTCCACTTGGAAGGAGAAGTGAAGCATCTTTATTTTTTGCTCTTTTTGATGCTATGGATTTGAAGCTGGAAATGAGTCAGAGTGACACATCTGTCAGAAACAACTGAGGGTCTAGGAAGGATGAGACATGGCAATGTGTTCTGCAGATGGATCCGAGTGCTTTGATGACACAGTGCAGCCTGAAATTCAAGCTAACAGCGGGGGAAGATTAGGACGTGAGCTCTGTATTTTGATTGTTAATTCTTAGTTGATGTAGTGAATGTTACTGCTGGATTATCCAGAGATGAACTTGGATCCCAGCATCCCCCTCTGGACATTGAAATGGTCCTTCCCCAAATCAGCAGAAGACTCCGACTGTCAGTCGATTGACCTCGGTGGAAATTTCGACTGACTTCAGTGTACTTTGACTCAAGCCCAAAGCTCGTATCTGCGTCTTCTAACCATTCAAGAAGCTTCTCTGCTTGCAGCTTTGCAAATGTTTATGGAAAATACATTTTAAAGCTCAAATGAGGACAGAGGTCAAAGGTAGTAAGAGAGACTAAAGAAGTGCAAACCAGTTCACAGATTTCTAGACCAGTTTGAGACCAAGGGAAAAATAGTTCTGTACATTCATTGCAACTAGTAATGAACATGACCACTCTACAGGACTAATTGACTTCAAGTCAATCATTCTTTGTGGTCTTAGTGTTTACTAAGAATGATTTTTCTCCATTACTGGTTTTTTTTCAGGTTTAGACTTTGAAAGCATTTTCTTTGATTTCTAAATGTTTTTGATGGAATAATGAAATTTGCTTGATACCAGGAAGCAAAAAACAACCCAAACTGAACTAGTTCAGAAAGAATAAATTTCTTCTAAAGGGAAAGGTCTTTAACTGCTTCTTAAGAGCTTTGTATGTGCTTTGGAGAGGGAGAGACACGACAGAATAGGACATGGTATATTTTTCCTGTTAAATATAGAAACAAGATTACGTTTGGTTTTGCGTTAGATCTGTGGCCAAATGGAGTTTGAATGTTAGCTCAGCTATACCCTCCTCAATGGTAATAATGTTTATAACAAATAACATTTTGTATTTTTGTGCCACCACTTTCTCAATATTTCGTTTTAATGGCAATTCATGTCTTTTGATCCCCAGCAGCACAAATGGAATGAAAAATTGTAATCTGTTATTAATTTTCATGCATGATTTCTCATATACTTCAGCAAGTACATTGTCGTATATACACTGTGCATGTAATTATTTGTGAGGCCGTCCCTGTCCTGATATGAAGAAGAAATGGGATTGGAGCCAAGACACAGGGAAAGTAGGCGACTTCCCCAAGGTCATGCAGCAGGTCAATCCAACCCCCACTCCCTGGTGCCATCCATGATTTGCACAGCAATGTTAACGCACTGCAACGGGAGCTGGAGGAGGATGGAAAAAAAAATAATGAAGCCTGCCCGCAAAAGGTGACTCAAGAAATAAAAGCAGGTTTTTGGCCTGCTCCTACTGATTTCTGCTGGGGGTGGGGGGGAGATAGTAAGGGCATCTGCCATTGGGTGAGGGAGTGGGTGGGTTTGTGGCCAGCAGGGAAGCTGGACTGCTGTAGGATTAAGAAGGATATTTCTGTCGCAGTGACCGGTTATTATTTCCTTTCCAAGTTAGTTACAACACGCAGCGCCTTGGTCGTTTTGCTTTCTGTGGCACTTTGAAGGTGAAAAAGCACAGACAGAATCACAGAATTGTAGAATCATTGCGGTTGGAAAAGACCTCTGAGATCATCAAGTCCAGCCGCCAGCCCAATACCATCATGCCAGATGCGAGAGCAACACTGTAGTCACCCCTGAGTAGAGAGCCTTCGTGTAGCTCCAACAGGAGCTGCATGAGCTTTCTGGGACAGGAGCACCTGGCATCATGAAGCCAGAGAGAGGTAGTAGCTTGAGGAGAAATGGTGCACTTGAGTCTTCTGAGTAAGACTTCCAGAGAGGCTTGGAGCTGGGATGCTTGCTTTTCTTACAGAGCACTATTGCCAGGTCTAATTCTGCTCCCAGGAGAGTCAGCGGGTGCACAGTTACTGGTGCTAATGGGGTTGAGACCAGGATTTTAGCTGTGCTACGCTTACCAAAGTAAATGCTAGCAATGCATGGAAATGGGCTTCTTGGAGGATTAGAAGTAGACTCATTCTAGTAGAATCACAGAATCATGGAATGTTAGGGGTTGGAAGGGTCATCTAGTCCAATCCCCTTGCAGAAGCAGGGTCACCCAGAGCAGGCTGCACAGGACCTTATCCAGGCGGATCTTGAATATCTCCAGAGAAGGAGACTCCACAACCTCCCTGGGCAGCCTGTTCCAGTGCTCCATCACCCTCAGAGTCAAGAAGTTCTTCCTCATATAGAAGGGAAGGGGCATCCAGGAGTCCATGTAAGGAGCAGTGAAGAAGCAAGATAAATTTGTGTGTTATGTGGACTTCGGGGTTTCCTGAAGGTGGTGATCTCTGTTGCATTGCTCTCCAGCTGCACAGGGATGGGTAGGCCCCATGTGTGAGTGAACAGGGCTGTAAAGATTAGTGCCACTGATTTCTTTTGACTTTCCTGGGATGCAATGGCACCAGAGTTACCACGAGCTTTAGTTTTGAACACTGCCTAAGCCTCTTCCCTTTGGCTGGTCTCATCAAAGAGCTGCGGGCTGGTGCACAGCTCCTTCTGAGAGCAGCTGAGAATAAGCAGGTGATGAGACATCTTTCCTGTAAGCCTGAAGCCATGCAGGGCTTTTTTGGAGAAGGCTGGCTCTATGTGGGTAGCTGCGTGCATTCCCCGTGGTGGTTCCTTCACATGGCTTTGCACTCCCAGGAAAGTGATGCACGTGCCCCAAGGCATAAATGTGCACAAAGACCCCTCCCCGCCACAGCAGCGTTGGGCCCTACACCATCTGGATGTGGCTCATAGATACTCATTGGCTACCATCGCCATCAAAATAGCTGTATCTCAGTGGTTTGGCTGAATAGAAGCTGAGAATAAAAAGAAATATCATCAATAATATGTCAGCCATATCTGTGTGTCATACTAAAGGCTGGCCCCTGTGGGAAAGGGGTTTACTGTATGGGCTGAGGGAATGTGATTCAGAGAATGGGCCCTGGGGTTGGGTAATGAACAGAGAGGGCAACAGGAGGGATGGAGAATGTTGTAGAAGCAGAATTAAAATAAAAAGGGGGGCTGGGGGAAGGCAAGGAAAAAAAAAAGCCAAGAAAAAAGAGAAAAATTGAAAAGAACCAGGGCAATAAGACAGAAAAAGAGGGATGAAAAGGAAGAGCAGATGAGCATGAAGGAGAAGGTATCTCGGTGGGTAGACACATCTCAGAATGCAGCTGCAGCATGTGCCCGTGTTACCTAGCATTTAGCGCCAAAGCTGAAAGGGACCGGCATGTTCCCTGTCCGAACTGCCCAAAGACTCGCAGCTTGCCCAGTGACTCCTGTGGGGAAGCGAGATACCTTCTCCCTCAGCACTTTCACGCTGCTGAGCTCGAATCTAAGAAATCTGCCAGAACTAAAATATTCCAAGACCTTCTTGCCCATAATGAGAAGGACCCTGAAAACGCGCCCCAGCTAGGCTGTTCTAGAGGACAGAAGTCCTGATACCATGGAAGTGCAGCAATTCTTTGCCTGCACCATCTAATCTCCTCTCTTGACATTTTTTTTTCTCTCACCCTTTAGGAAACCACGATGGATTACAGCTCGTTCAGCGGAGTCCCCCGGTTCTTGACCCGGCCTAAGGCGTTTATGGTGTCTGTGGGGAAGGATGCCACCTTGAGCTGCCAGATCATTGGAAACCCCATCCCAGTTGTGAGCTGGGAAAAGGATAAACTTCCAGTCCAGTCTGGAGGAAGGTTTAAAACTACGGAAGATGGGGATCTCTATAGGCTAACAATCTATGATCTGAGCCTGGAGGACAGTGGCCAATACATCTGCCGGGCCAAGAACACCATCGGGGAAGCTTTTGCAGCTGTCAGCATCAAAGTTGGAGAGGAGACTACAGTAACGGAGTCAGCCCCATATTTCATCCAGAAACCCTCCTCCATCAAAGTGACGTTGGGAGAAGATGCCATGTTCAAATGCAAAGTCCAGGGCAGCCCTCCCCTCTCGGTGAACTGGGAGAAGGATGGGAGACACCTGCGGAACCGGGCTGATGCTGGACGCTTCCAGATTGAGTCTGCCGGGGAGTCAAACGCTCTCACCATCCAGTGTGCCCGGCTCGGGGACAGTGGCACCTACACCTGCCGGGCAGAGAACCCCATCGGCTCTGCCAGCGCTTCGGCTGCGCTGGTGGTGGAAACGCAGGGCTCTTCCAACCCGGGCAGCAGCAGCCACTTCGATACCAGTTGTGGCAAGACGTCATCCTTGTTGTCTCACTTGCAAAAGAGGCGGGAGGAGATCAGGAAGATGGACATCTCCCACGGCGTTTTTGATTCAACATCTGCCCAGTCTTACTCCACAGCAGAAGGTTTGTCATCTATCAGCTACAGCCTCTCCCGGGATTACGAGAGGGCGGCCGGACTTACATCCAAAGCGGTCCGCAACGCGACTTTTGGGGCACTGACACGCACGTGCAGCGTGACGGAGGGGAAGCACGCCAAGCTGAGCTGCTACGTGACTGGCGAGCCCAAGCCAGAGATCGTGTGGAAGAAGGACAACGAGGTCATTGTGGAAGGGCGGCGGCATGTCATCTATGAGGATGATCAGGAGAACTTTGTGCTGAAGATCCTCTTCTGCAAGCAAGCAGACAACGGACTGTACACCTGCACAGCCTCCAACCTGGCAGGCCAGACATACAGCTCCGTGCTTGTCACCGTCAAAGGTGGGTGTTTATGTTTCTCACTAGGGTGGACATGCCTGCACGGGACAGCCAATGTACTTCTGAATTGGGGTGGGAGCACGAACAGAACTTCTGCCACCGAGCTGCTGCAAAGGAGGTTGGGTTAGACATGAATAGAGCCCTCCAGCTTAAAGGGCATTAAGCACTGGAAAAGATGACCTGGGGAGAGAGTCTCATCACTGTGGGGTTTTAGGAAGGGCAGTAGACAGGCACCAGTCAGGGATGGATGATGTAGAACTAGCTGGTTGTGGAGCAGCTGTAATGAACCAGATCTCAAAAGCTCACATCCATCCTGGTTCTATAGTAATCAAAGAGATCCGTTACCATCCTCTGGATCAGGGACTGCTGAAGCCCCATCTTACCCTCCAGGCTTCAATCGCATCTGGGTTTATATTCACCACAGGGTTTAGTCAAACTGCTCACACATGCTGTTTAGGCAGTAGTAGACGAAATTCCTCCCTGCAATCTGAGTGTCAGGCTGCCCTGGATCCCTTGGGGGACCTACTCCAACTCTAATTACAGTTCATCTCAGTCTTCCTGTACAGAGTGACCCACCAGCAGCCTTGCTCTTGCCAGGCTCTTCAACCTTTTCGCAGCTTGTGTTCCTGGATAGCCTGTAGTCCTTGTATGCTCCCAGGACTCTGCTAGGTCCAGGAGGCCTGTTTGCTGTGGTCAGTGGTGAAGAACTTGCCTTCAGCAGGTCCCTCAATGCTGGTGGAGGTCAGACCAGGTTCTTCAGAATGGCAACAAAAGCGTGACACACATATTTTCACAAAGGTAGCTCTAAAATTTCAAGCTGCTCTCCCCTTTGGCAAGGCAGTTTGCAACCCAGGCAGCACATGTAAATTATCTTTCAGATGTAAAAGGCTTTACCACTTTAGTGGCAAAATAGATATTTCTCATTGTCAGCAAAATAAATTAGAAATCCATATGAATAGGGATGGTCTGTGTTTCATATCCATCCTTAAGACTCTCAGGTTTTAATTGGTTTTCTAGTTTCCCTTTTCTGGACTTCTCCTTTCAGACTCACTGTCTTTCCCGGCAGTGACTCAGTCCCCGTGTCCATCAGTGACACCCAAGCCGAAGAACGCACTGGCACTTGTCCCACTCATTGCTGTCCCTTGGAGGTGCTGAGTGGTGTTGGGAAGGGCATCTGTCCTCGTCCATAAAGCTGCGATTACCTCATGAGTCGGGACTCAGAGCTGAAGACCAAGCCTGGTCCTTGAGTGGGCGTTCACTCTGAGGAGCTCAAGCTCCGTTACTTGCCCAACACCTGTCTTGCAAAGACAAACACCCTCCCCTCTGCTCGTGCTGCCTTGATTATTCCCAGTGGGTGCAGCCTGTTCCAAAGGACACAGGGAAAGCATGTGAAGCAGCAGGTCTGGGAGCAAGCCCCAATGGGAAAAGGTGGTTTATCAATGTCCGTTGTCAAGAGACACCTGTGAGTTAGAAGGCTTAAGTGGAAATGTTTATGCTCTGTTTCTTTGTTACGCTATAGCACGTTGGACATTCTGACCAGGCCAAGGCTGTCATGGAAAATCTAAGTGTGTTGGTTATAATTAGGCCCTGAATAATGACTCTCTTTGTGTCACCAGTAGTCCTTCTCAGCCCTCCAGAGACAGCTCAGAATGATGTAGTAATGAAGTGAGCTTTTAATTCTGTTCTTTTATGCCATTGGTGATGCCATTAGCTCATTTGCCATTGTGTTTAGGGGGGTAGGTCACCTTGCCACACAACCTTCTCTTTGCTCAGTCGTGCAGAAAAGGCTCAATTCTCCAAGCAGCCACACTTAGCAAGCACCATGCTGCTGTGCTTGACTTTCTGCAGGTAATAGCATATTGATAGAGCCTGTGATGCTGCAGCTACGGTGTGTGTCTATAGACACAGGTACCAGGAAAGACAAGCTTCATGGGTTTAAATATGCTCTGGCATTTTAGTTCACAGAATTTCAACGCAAGAATCTGAGTGAGAATATTTATGGGTCTTTTAAAGGCAATAATGAAAAAAAAAAAAAAGACTACCTAGCCCAGCATCCTGTCTGTAAGGTGGCTTTCAGCAGTCTCTCAGGGCATAGGACAGGGCATAGGTCAAATCCCTGCTGTGGCTTGCCTCCTATATTCTGTCAATCTAGATCCTAGACTGAAAGACTCAACATATCTGTAAGCATTTGCTGAACCCATGCCTTAAAGATCATTGAGCTGAAAAGAAGAGATTTTTGAGATGTTCTTAAATGAGAGGTGGTGAAGCAGATGTAAATCTCAAAGCAGAGGCTACAAGGCATAGTGTCACTCTCTCTCAGTTAAGCAAAACAAAGAGCTGATTACTCCGATTCGGACATGTGCTGGATTCTAGTATTCAGAGCAGGGATAAAATCACAAGCCATGCACTGAAATGTGAGATGTAAAAGAAGTAAGAAAATACTGCCCAAAAGCCAACCTTTACATGAGGGGACGTTTAGACTGGGTATTAGGAAATATTTCTTCACCTGAAGGGTTATCAAGCATTGGAACAGGCTGCCCAGGGTAGTGGTTGAGTCACCCTCCCTGGAGGTATTTAGAAGATGTGAAGACATGGTGTTTGGGGAGATGGTTGAGTGGTGGAATTGACAGTGTTGGATTAATGGTTGGACTTGACGATCTTAATGATCTTTTCCAGCCTAAACCATTCCATGATTTTTGCCAAACCAAAAAAGCAGCCAGGATGAGAGGAACACGAATAACCAACTTGAATTTCCTGAAGGCTTTGGATAAGTCCCGAGGCCAAGTGTAAAGTTAGCGAGAACAGTGTACAGGTCTCCATCCTTGAGCCTGGGCCAAGTAATATTCATCTGAGTCCCTGAATACAGTAATCAGATACTGTATGAAAAGGTTAAATGTTGCAAGCCAAACAGGATAGAGACTGGAAAAACAGACTGGCGCTGAGGCCACTTTATTCCTGTCTGACCTGAAGTGATTTTGGATGACTGCTGTCACAGTCATCACATTAGAGATCTGAAAGAGAACTTGAGAAATGTGGAGGTGGAAAGGAATCTTGGAAATCACAGTAACTAGGAAGAAGACCAAAGGCACAAGATGGTGGAAGCTTGTCCATGCACCTTCAGATAGCTCCCTTTGGAAGGATTCTCCATATTCTTACTCTCACTGGATCATTTTTGCTAGGTAGAGGGAAAACTTGCCTCTGGAATAATAAATGGAGGGCCTGTGAGAGGACAGGAATAGGCAAGGGGAAATGTGGGCAAAAGAGATGACCAGGTCAAGCAGACAGATATGGCTTGAGAAGGTTAAGGAAACATTGACTTCTTTGCAGGCTGCACCTATTCTTAGCAAAAATATGTGTTAGCAGAACCTGCTTTTAAAAAATAACATCATCTCATTGCTAGTTTTGTTGGTATGGACCTAACAAAAAAGCCTATGACAGTGCGGGCAAATATGTTCTCAAGACAAGCAACCAGATTCTTATCTGATCGAACATCCTGCAGTTCCCTGCGAACTCCATGAGCTGCTCTTGCTCCATGATCCCTCGAGCTTCTGCTTTGCTGTTTCGATCTCATGTTTTTCCCAATAGGCAGGTTTTTGTAAATCTCTTATTTTATCTCCTATTTTGCCTTCTTTAGAAACATTATTGCTTTCATTATGTTCCTTCATCAGTATTTCTGCTTTGGATAAGGACAGATTAATAGAAAAAACTGTGAAGTCCAAAAAAAAAACACCAAAACATACTGATACTAGGGATGAATTTTAATAATGTCTCAGGGCACTCTGAGTTAATGAAAATGAGCCATGGCCTGGGAGTCCAGGTGTTACAAGGACAAAGAAGAACTGTCATTCAAATTCACACCACTGAGCTCTCACGGAAGTAAAGGTTTCTAGATAATGGTTGATGTGAAGCGATCAGAAAAGCACTGTTTTATACTTCTGGTTGGATTCTGTGTGAAGTGGCATCCATTTCAACTGTTCTTCCAGCGTTCAAGATGTATGATTCAGGTACCACTTGCTTCTGCTCCCTCACTGCAACCTGTGTCAGCTGCGTCAGAATTATCTCTTCCGTAGTGCCCAGGACTTGAGCAGAGCTGAAAGTGCTCAAGCAGAGATGAAAGTGCTTTGTATCATGGGAGACACAGCCCAGCTGGGAGAGCATCCTTGGGAAAGGATGTGGTCAGGAAAGCAACAAACCATGGCTGCCAAAAAGCAGCAGAGCAGATCATGTTTCCACTCCAGTCATTCTGCCACAAACCACCTAGATTTTCTCAAAGGAGATTTGGAACAGAACGATCAGAAATCACCTTTCTTGCTAGTGTTAAATAATTTCTAATCAGCTCTGATATTTATAGGAACTGGAGATGGGAGTTGGTGGCACTTCTTATCTGCAACAAAGGGTCCCTGTGAGAATTGTCACACGTAACCTCAGCTGAACACACTTTTTCCTTATCCTACAAGGATGTTTTCAGGTATTATGAACATTTTGAGTAGTAAAGAAAATGGTTGATAGCTTTATCTTCCATATTAGAGTCATACTCAAGATGAGCATTACCTTGTGGAAGGGTAATACGTGACACACAGGCATTCAGAAATAGGCAGTTGATATTTATGGAGTCTGTCAGATCAAATATAACATAGTTATCTGCAGCAGCTCTTCCTGATGTGCCTGTAGTAGTTACAACACAGAATATTTCTGAATTGTGCTGGGTGCTGTGCAAATACATAAGAGAGGATGCCTAAGTTAGAGAATTTGCACTATAAATGTCAAAATCTGACAGAGTGCAGGCCAGCGTGGGTGAAAGAGAGCAACAGAGGTCTCTGCTCAACTCACCTTGCTGACCAGTGAGAGAAGAAGTGTATTTGTTTTCACATTTACCTAGTTAAAATACACCAAAAGGCTGGTGTAAAGTTTAGTGCTTCCTCTGTCAGAGTAAGTCTTCTTCACGTAAATATGATATACTCAGGCTGTGTTAATCAGTCTGTTGACAAGGAAGGTGAGCCACCTGCATTTCCCAGATGGTTCCTTGAGATCTGGGTTGCCTGTGGATCAGCTGGAGACAGTTCCCTCCCAGCCACCTCTCCAAGCATCTCTCTGATCTGAGCAGGGGGCTGGTGATGGGCCAGATGAACTGTTTGGGATGCCCACTCCCAGAACCCCATGGTCCTTCAGTAATCCCCTGACCAAAATTAACCCCCTCTGTCTGGCCAGGTACATGCTAGACAATGTAAAGAGCATGAAGATATATTCTGGAAGAGGAGGCTGGTGGGTTTTGGAGCTTCTCTGACCTCTCCAAAGCGAAAAAAAGCGCAATGGACTGGATGAATCCCAGGCTTGGTTTCTGTTTGGCAGCTGATATCTCTCTGAAGCCCTGTTCCGAGTGAGATAAGACGTGTGTGCACGTGTCAGTGGGACAAAAGCAAAGTTGTTTTCAGAGGATATCTGTGACCCCTGAGGTGCCAAAGATAGCCTTGCACCTACTTTCCTGGGCTGGAAAAGCAGTGCTGTTACTGCAGCGTATACGAAAGAATCACACAGAATCACAGAAAGGTAGGGGTGGGAAGGGACCAACCAACTCTTCTGCATTTCTGCATTTAAGAGCTTTTTCCTAGAGCAGGTTTTTGCTTTGTTTTAAAAAAAAAAAAACTTAGATACTGCTTAGTGACTGTAAAGGAAGAGGGATTAATGATGTGGCCAGTTGCTTTAAGTATGGGAATACACTTGTGTGCTTCTCAGGTGCGTTGCATATTTCCTACTTGGAAATGAAGCATTTCCAAGAAAATGGAACGGGCATGTCTGTGTGTTGTCAGTGTCAGATCCAGACACCCTCCAATCTCACACAGCCACACTGCATCCAGCTCCTGGAGGTCAGCATCCTTCTAGTTAAGGCTTTCTTGAGCTCATCTTGCTTGCTCCCGTGGCATGGGAACTACAGCTGCTTCATTCCCCCTGACTGCATGGGGTTCTTGCAGAGGTGATATACAGGATTTCAAGGCAGGAGTCTGAGTAGCCTGTTGGTTAAAGAAAAAAAGAATAATTAATATATGGAGTGTAGCCAGAGCAGGTCTGTGTAGCTGCAGCTGAAGGCTTTTCAAGGCAAGACTTTGACTTGACTTGACTTGAGGTGCATTAAGGTCATGCCATGAAAAGGCAGAATTGGAGACTCAATAGTCAGAAGACTATGAAGCAGGTATTCTTTATTACGGTGCTGGGCACACGGGGGATCTCTTCTCCAAATGTGAGCGCCAAACACTGTCATTTCAGGTTAAATACAATCACAATAAATATATTCATTATATTTCTGATAAATGCTTAGCATATTCATGACTTTTCCAAGCACTAATTAGCATATGTTAATGTGTTTCACGCATGTCTGTTAGCGTTCTTGGGTGGTCTTTGCGGATCCTAAGATGAAGGCTTATACTCCTCATCACAGTGTCCGTTGGTTGACCTTTGTTTCTGCGCAAACTCAGTTCTAAGATCATGTATACCGTGTCCTTCCAGGTTATTTTGCTTTGGTCTTGTTGCCCTCTTGGTGCCTCTTTATATCTGAGGCTTGGTGCATCTGCCCTCCCAAGGCTGAGCTGTCTGGAGTAGAATTATTTAGGAGTCCCTCTGTCTTAGAGCTTTCCTGTCCCCCCCAAAACAGCAAGTCAAGTTTGTCTAAGTAGCGTTATTTAGGAGCCTCTTTACCTTAGAGCTTCCCTGTCTTCTCAAAGCAGCAAGGATCTACTTTAGTTTAGTTACAGTCACTCTAGTAAGTGGAAATTTTACATTTATGGGTATGAAAGGCAAAAAATATTTTAAGAAAATAACCAAGTCAACATGGTGAGCTACAGTCACCTTCCTGTTCTTACTGGTATTGTGTGGGTTCCCATTCAGGTTTTAATCTCAGGATAACACCCAGGGCAGTAGATAGCATTGGTCCCTCCAGATGTCCTGTCAAGCCCTCAGGGTCCGGTGTCTCTCTCCAGGCTGTGCTCAGCTAGAAAGGACTGGAGGCGTTTGTGTGACAGCTGCAGTCGTGGCTGTGCCAGGGGTGGAATGAAAGGCCTGCAAAAACACATGAGTTTCTAGGGCTTGAGTTCAGTAAAGAGCAAACCAGATCAGGCAGCACTGCTCCTGTAGCAGTTCCTGTCCTAATGGTGAGACGGGAGGAGCCAGGTAATGGACTCATACAGTCACAGAATCATAGAATCATTAAGGTTGGAAAAGACCTCTAAAATCATCAAGTCTAACTGTCAACCCAACACCACCACGTCTGCTAAACCATGTCCTGAAGTGCCACATGTACACATTTTTTTAACTCCTCCAGGGATGATGACTCCACCAGATCTGAATTTCACAAAACGGATGCTCCTGGACATCCAAGCTTGGATCTGGGATGTTTGAGGGCTGTGATTAGTGTTTCTCTAGCCTCTAGAGCACAGTGACTCTGAGAGGGATGTGCCACCATGGGCATGGGCTTATAAATCTAAGACAAGTCTAGTCCTGTTTGACTCTTAGACTAACAAGTGGCATTGCTGACTGCTAGTGACCACATGAAATTACCAGTGTGGGAGTGTGTGTGGTCAGGGAGAGGGAGAATGGAGTCATGAGAAAAGGCCGGGAGCTGGTGCAGTAGTTATTAGACAGTGAAGGTACATGTCAAGACATGTTCTCTAACAATGCATGAGTAGTGATGCATCAGCACTGGCTAATCCAAGTCTGTGACATGGCTGTGGCACCAGTCCCACAGCTGTGACCACTGGCTGTCCTCTTCAGTGCAACTCCCCTTTCTCTAGTTAAGTGCTGGGGTATCAGGATGATTTCACAGTGCAGCTGTCACTGGAATTAAACGTTGTTCTGTCTGCGAAATGTCTTCCTTTACTGCCATGCAGCTGTTTTGCATTCTTGATCTACATTCTGCTTTCTCCCTAAGCCAGAACATTGCAGCCCTGTTGCTGGAGTAAAGCAGAGGCAGTTGTGAGACTTGGCCTTTTTCTCTAGTTCTTTTATCGTCATTCACAAAAGCTGACAACGAGCCTTTGGTGCTTGTGGGAAGAACAGAAAACTCCTCCATCAGTTACTTCTGTGCTTTCCCCCATGTCTGTCTTTGTGTGTGCAGCCACCTCTCATTTTCTGTGCCCTTTCAGATGCCTCCACTGAGAAAAATTCTGCTTCAGCACCCCTAAAATTTTGGTTCTTGCACCAGCTGACCAGCTCAGCTTCTCGCATTCACCTAGAATTACTGCCCTGTGCATTCTCCCTAAGACCAGCTTGTACTCTATTTACCCACCTGTAGCATCTTTACTTTTAAGGGCTTTTACTCTGATGTGAAGTGGCTGCTGCTATATATAGAGTCCGTCTAGGAGGGCCCTGCCTTTCCTCTTGCTGGCATCGCTAAGTGAGAGGATGCAGTACAGAGATGTTCATGCTAGAGGACAAGAGGCCACAAGAGCAGAATTTATTAACCTGATGTTTCACCAACTTGTTCACGTTGGTTTGGATTAGAGCAAACTCCTCTGTGTGGTGTTGTGGGGTGGGTACAGCAGTTCAGACTGATACTGCTTCATTTTCAGGAGTGTCTAGAAACAAACTAAGTCCACGGTTGGATTCGATGTTCTTAAAGGTCTTTTCCAACCTAAATGATTCTATGACTCTAAATGATTCTCAGTCCTGAAAAATACTTCTGCTGGGATCTAAGTTTTTTTTTACGTAAAAGCAGAACACCTGCTGTAGTAAGTCTTGATTACTGGTTTGGATAGCATCTCAGAACAAATCAATATAATTAATAAAGAGTGTTAATGTTTGATTTTTTTCCTATTGATTTATTTGTTTGCACACCTTTTACCCCATACCATCACAAACTCTTATTTCTCCTTTCTGTTTTTATCCTCTGAAGAACCTTCAATACCCTTCAAGGAAAAACTGAAAGATCTTGAAGTGAGGGAGAAGGAATCTGCCACCTTCCAGTGTGAAGTGCCTGTTCCTAGTACAGAGACGGCTTGGTTCAAGGAGGAAACCAAACTCAGGCAGAGCAAGAAATACAACATCGAAGAAGAGGGCACTTATCGCCGGCTCACTGTCCAGAACGTCACCACAGATGATGATGCTGTCTATATCTGTGAGATGAAAGAAGGCAGCAGGACCATTGCAGAGTTGTCTGTCCAAGGTAAGAAAGTGTCCTGCTATTTCGGATTGCCAAGTCTCACCTACGAAATGTGAGATTCACGCATGAGGCTCCAGACTTGACCAAGTGAACAGCATTTACCCCACACATGTGTGCAGTGAAGAATAGCAGATTCCCTTATGGTGTGAGAGGAGAGCCATGTGTGGTGGGTTGATGGGTCCCTGGGTTTCCTGCTAGGGTGTATCTGGAACACAGGGTCACAGAGTGGGGACAGATCATGTTGCTGCACAGCACACGTCATCTGGTGGGGCCCTGTGCTTCAAGGGGCTTCCTAGCAGGCAAAGTCCTTGAGCTGTAAACTTTCCTTATCATGATCCCAGAAGGCCAACCATATCCTGGGCTCTGTCAAGAGAAGCGTGGCCAGAAGGTCGAGGGAGGTGATTCTGCCACTCTACTCCACTCTGGTGAGACCCCCCCAGGAGAACTGCATCCAGCTCTGGAGCCCCCAGCACAAGCAAGTCATGGAGCTGTTGGAGCAGGGCCAGAGGAGGGCCACAAAGATGACTGGAGGGCTGGAGCACCTCTCGTATGAGAAAAGGCTTAGAGAGTTGGGATTGTTCAGCCTGCAGAAGAGAAGGCTGTGGGGAGACCTTATAGCAGCCTTGCAGTACCTGGTGGGGGCCTATAGGAAAGATGGGGAAAATGTTTTCAGAAGGGCTTGTTGCGATAGGACAAGGACTAATGGTTTTAAACTAAGGGAGGGTAGATTTAGACTGGATATAAGGAAGAAGGTTTTTACACTGAGGGTGGTGAAACCCTGGCACAGATTGCGCAGAGAGGTAGTGGAGGCCCCATCCCTGAAAACTTTCAAGGCCAGATTGGACGGGGCTCTGAGCTACCTGGTCTAATTGAAGATGTCCCTGCTCATTGCAGGGAGGTTGGGCTCGATGACCTCTAAAAGTCTCTTCCAACCCAAAGCATTCTACGACTCTATCCCAAGCATTAGTTGTGTCCCCTGGCACAACCTCACACAGGTCTTATCTGGTGTCTGGAAAACACAGTGGTGAATCTTGTCTGAGTGGTACTGACCACCCTGGGAAGCTGGCTTGGCAGCTGTGGTTTATGGTCCGATGCGTGGTGCAGGCTGTGCTCAGCACCAGTATGGTGTCTGATCCCTGACATCTGGAGCTGTTATCTGCAGTTTGGAAAGCTGATGAGAAAGGGGCAAAATGTGGGTATAGATCCATGTCCAAGTCTTCTGAGTCTGGTAGTTTAGGACTGAAGTGCAGGTAGATGTAGAGCTTGGTATGGTGTAGGTCTCACAGCCAGTAGACATGCCCATCAGACACAGGCACGTCTACAGAAGAGGCCATTGGTTCTGAACTCCATAACTTGCTGTATGAATAAGAACCTGCCCATGCAACTCCAGGACCTCTAATTTTTATTTTGATGATGCTTATGCTAGAACCATTGACATCTCCTGTAGCATGGATTGAAGACCTGTAATAGTAACAGCATTGCACTTGTCCTGTCTCAGCTGAAGCCTGACTTCACTCCCAGTGAAACCAGATGTTCTCTGCTGCATAAATTGGTGCAAGACATCTGGGTACCACATATCCTTGTGAAAATTCCTTTTTGTATCATTAGCAAAGAGTGGAGAGTGCACATGGGCAGCGGCAGAAGGGAAAATTTAGTCTGGAGACGTGGGAGAATCAGATAGACATCTTTTTCTTGCAAGTTCTTTTAGGTCTAGACCAGCCAAGCAGTGCAAGTGTGTTTGGCCCCAGCGGGACAGCTGGCTTTTGTTTTACTTGTTTGCGCTATGGTACTATGGGACGTTCCTTTAAAAAGAGAGTGACTGAGTTGGGTGGAGCTCTGAGGAGCAAAGGAGACCCTCCTGGGAGGGTCTCCTCCTGGGGGAGCCCTGTGCCTGCCCTGGGGTGAGAAGATTCGAGAGAGCAGGGTGAGGTAGGGCAAAAGGGAGAGCTTGACAGGATGAAAAGGGCTGCAAGGACAGTGACACTGCTGAGGGCAGCAAGGAGTAGACACATGGCCAAGCTTCAGAGAGGATGAGCAGAGAACTGGGGTCTTGAATTCTACTGAAGAAATGTGTGCCTTATCTGTTGCTCCATGAAGGAGTTCAGCATTGCTTCTTATTAAATAGCTCTAGGTGCGCTGCCTGGGTGAGGGCTCTTTTGCCTCGCAGGAGTACTTCCAGGGCTGGAACCAGCCACCATCTGTCAACAGGGGTGGTCTCCTGATGCTTCATCCAAGCTTTCCTGTGATTAGTCACATCTTATAACTTTGAGGTTATTCTAACAAGTAATAATCATCACAATCACTTGGAAAGGACACAAATAAGTAAAGTTCATTCCACGTGAATTTCTGGGTAGACTCTAAGAAGAAATCTGAGGTGCTTAGCGTATTTTCTATTAATTCGAGTGGTTAGTGTGTTTGCCATCTTGGTTATGGAACTTACTGGTGACTTTGATGGAGGCAAAATCCTGAAGACAGACGAGACACCTGTCTGGTTTAAGACTGTCCTTCTTTAGCAAAGTTTTAGTTTGAATTCCAAGCATATACAGGCAATGAAAGCCGTATCACTGTCAAATCTGGTTTTGGCAAGGCCGCATGCCTTGTGTTTACCCAACAGCACTCTGCATGGTAGGCTAGAAACATGATCGTCTGTAGTCAAAGATTGCTTTTCTCTCTTTGAAGGCTGAAATGAGTCCTTGGGATTATCTGTTCTGTAGAACTCAGAGCCTAGGAATTCATTTAGGGGTGTCTGCATAGTGTCTATAATGTTTTAATTGAGAGCTGTTGACTAGTCTTCTTGCAGTCTGGATGGTCCAGTGTTGCCAGAGACTTTAATATCTGTTGATCATAATTACTTTCTTATTTAAAGGGAACATCATTAAAAAACTTCCACGAAAGACTGCAGTCTTCATAAACGATACAGCCATCTTCTGTGTGGAGCTGGACAATGAATGCCAGAACATCCGATGGCTGAAGAATAAAGAAGAAGTGAAACCCAGTGACCGAATCTCCATCACATGCTCTGGAAAGCAACATACCATGATCATCCGAGAGTGTAAGATGGAAGATGCTGGTGAGATTGCCTTCCTGGCTGATGAAAGCAGGACTTCTACCCAGTTCACTGTGACCAGTAAGCTTCACTTTGTTTTGGCCTTGGTGTGTCTTCCCCAGAAAGCAGGTACTCGTGTGGTAGCGCTGCTGTTTGAGGTACTGCCATGGTAAGTTTGTTGCCCAAGGACAGCAGAAGGTTTGGCATCTGCCACAAAAAGCCAACAGCCTGCACTAGTGTTATGAGATGTTATGGAGAGATCAAAACAGAGAGAGAGAAGAAGAGTCCTGGGGAAAGAGCATGGCATGAACATGTATCTCCTCTGTACCGTTCTCATTTTGTGCTGGAACGAGCGTAAAATGATAACCGAGTAAAACATGGGGTAAGGCACATATGTCTTCTCCCCACCGGGAGGTGCTCAGAAAACACCGTGTAAGCTGCACACGTAGCAGTCACCTTGCTTCATTGTACGAAGAGCGCTGCGAGTGCTCCATCTGCACGCTGACCTCTGTTTGCCAGAAGCATTAGTTTCTTTAAGGGGCATTTATCAATTCTTGCTATGAGGATACCTCTTCTAGCAAATAAAGACCACTCATCTCTCCCTCTCTCTCCTTGCTGAAGTTTTGGGGGGAGAGTCAGCAAGTATTCAATTCCTTCCATAGATTGGAGTCTACAGAGACATGAGGGTAACTTGTGGGTATGCTGGCTTTTGCAGGGAAGTAGATAGGTGGTCTAAACATTTTTGGCAGAGTGTGAAGTGTATTTTCATTCTAGTAACCAACAACATCCATAAAGGAACATCTACACACACACACAATGAAGCATTTCAGGGGCAGTCAGATGTTCACTAAACTTGAAACATCTTACTTTGATTTCAGCTTCTTAAGCTGTTTGCATTAAAGTAAAATATATAAATCCATAAACAAAAACAAATCTACAAGGAAAAGGGGAAATGCTTCCTCCTGGAAATACAGTCTCCTTCCTTTTGTGGAGACCAACAAAGCCGTGTCCTCTCTCATCCTCTGACATGAGAAAGGTGGGAGGACCCTGTGAACTGATGGTGGCTGGGCTGAAAGCAGGGACCTTTGTCTTGATGAGCTTTACTTGGGGAGGCTGATACAATAAGCAGGCTGGAGAATTCCTCCAGCTGCCACATGCGATCTGAGCAAAGGTTTCCAGTGACGGAGCAGTAGCAGCAGGTGCAGCGTAGCTGAGATAGGACCCGAAGTGAAATATTGGTGAAGTTACCTAATTTTATGGCGATTTATTTCGATGGCATTGCATTTCCTAGGCAAAAGCTGCTTCAGTTTAGGAAGAGAACTGCATGTGGTGTCTGCTCTGCTGCAGTTCCAGTTCGCATGTAAACAAGTCACCGACTCTAGTCACCATTTGGGAAGAATAATATTTCTTTTCTCCCACCACCACCTCCAAAGTGCAGTTACTCCGTGGTAAAAAAAAAAATTTGAATACAGGTGTATAACTGCTGTGCTATCTAAACTTGGTTGGGGAATTCTGATGCTGTTGAGCTAAAAAGAGGAAAAAATGAGCTGTCGCATTTAATACTGTGGCAGTTTCTAAGGTATTTGGAAAGCTGTAACATCCAACCAAGCACCTATTCAATGAGAACGACAAAGTTCAGTTTGATTTCAGACCCTGCTGTTCAGGGGTGCTATGCTATGAAGCAAGTGTTGATTCGTGGAATAAAAAAAGGTAAGAATCTGTCTTCCCACATTCAGGTATCTCTGAAGAAAATATTACATGGCGGTTTCTGATGGTAAGGTCAAGATATCTGATTCTGAGGTCTAGTATTCAGCTTAATGCTGTGCTAATGGGACCTTTGACATCTAGCTCTGACCAGCAGTAACCAACAGGCTGGTAACTGTGCACCCTAAAACACTTATGTGTCTATTTATGTAATGAAGGAAAAGCGTATCGTGTTGAGATTTCCTATTTTTACACTTCATGAATATCTGATTAGCTGCCTGAAGAATTCCATGTGCTATGTTCACATCTTTTTCATTTAGCTGGACGAGATTGGTCTTGGCTGTTCTAACAGCATTTATCAGGCAAGCAATGTTTACATATTATTTGCTCATTATCTTGCCTTGTTACTATGCTTTAAATATATTATGTCTTTTAAAGATGGGTGAACTGAGGCAGAGAGAAGATCAGTTGTCCCAGAGTTTGGTTTTCAGTCTAGGCTTATGGTACAGGCTCCTTCTATAGTCATGAATACTTGGGTATCTGCACTGTGTGATTCTTTTCACCAATTTCACACACCTTCTTTAAGCTGGGATGAATTGTTCTGGAGTGTGCTGCACTCCAAGGGATTGGAGTCTGGGTGACTCACTTAAACGAGACACCTTTCAGATAGCCAAAATTAAATGAAATTAATCCTTTACCATGTCACTAGGTGTGTGACTAGAGCATATCAGATTATTCCTAGCCTTTTGACCATATCTGTTGGAGCACATAGTCAATAACCCTGAATGGACTTGAGCCTTCTGCAAGGGGTTCAAGAGGAATGAGAGGGTGAATGTAAATCTTCACTATCCAAATATATGCAGGGATACATTTGTGACCTCAGGTACCGTAAAATAGCCACATCTCCTCAATTGTAGGGTCTCACAGTGTGGATATGTCTTCATGTCATTTCCTTTCGAAGTTAATTCCCCAACCCCAAAATCTGGCTCTGCATAAATTGCTAACACAGAGATACGCGATGATAGCTCTCACTCTTGGGAGACAAACTGACAACAAGCTTTCGGAGTGGGGATAGCATGAAGTTTAGAAACAAAAAGAGGACAGACAGCCCCATCCAACCTGGCTTTGAACACTGCCAGGGAGGGGGCAGCTACAGCTTCTCTGAGCAATCTTGACCATAAGCCAGCAGTGTGCCCTGGCTGCCCAGAAGGCCAATGGGATTCTGGGGTGCATTCAGAGGAGTGTGGCCAGCAGGTAGACGGAGGTTCTCCTCTCCCTCTACTCTGCCCTGGTGAGGCCCCATCTGGAGTACTGTGTCCAGTTCTGGGCTCCC